CCGCTTTTCTAAGCTGCCAAACGGGATGTTCACCACCACCCCCCCCCTCCCCATCCCGCCCGGGGGTGCCGAAATAATCTGGTGGTGCTAAGGATGTCCCCGGGCGTCCTCTTTGAAGTGACCTCCGTGTTTACAGCCCGGCTCGGGCTCCTTCACACCTTCCGCCCCAAAGCAAACGGAGCGGGGGGAGGTGGTGGTGGTGGTGGGGGGGACGCGTGTTGGGGGGCCCCTCCAGCTCCCGTTTGTGCCGGGAAAACAGGGATTTGCCTGAGCCGCGGCGCAGCTTCGGCACACTCGGGGCTCGGAGACTTTGGCCACTGTGGGGTGGGAGCGGTGGCTGCCGGGGGTGGCACTTTGGGGGGCGGGGGGGCGAGCCCGGGGTGACCCCCCCGTGGGTGGCCGGTTCCACCCGTGTGAGGGGACCCCCGAAAGTCCGGGGGGGGTCCCCGTGTGACGCTGCGGGGCTTGGGGACGGAGGGGGAGGATGCAGAGAGGAAAAGTGTGTGCGGGGAGGTGAATTTGGATGTGTGGGGGAGGTTTGGGAAGGGAGGTGGGGATGGAGTGGATGGACGGATGGATGGATGGGTGGATGGATGGATGTGTTGGGAGGGAAGGAGGGAAAGACAGATCATGGGTAGAGGGATGGATGGAGGGATGGACATATGGGAGGACATGCAGGGAAGTGCCAGGGTTCGGGGGTGCCCCGGGCCCCCCCCAGCCGTCACCGCGAGGGCTCCAGCGCCCAGCACAGCCCGGGGGTGGGCACCGGGGGCCACCGTCCGGCCGCTGGCCCCACCCCTGCCCTCCCCCGGGGCCGGCGGCGCGGCCGGACACGGCACAGCTGCTGCCCGACCTCCGGGCTCCGGCCAGGCGGGACCGGCCCCGCAACCCCCCGCCCGCGGGGAGGGGGTCCCGGGCAAGGGGGGCACAGGGAGGTGACCCGGCGGCCACAGCTGGGCCCCGCCGGGGCCGGGAGATGCTGCCGGAGGAATAACAGGAAGCGCCGGAGGGAAAAGCGGGGCTGATGCTTTCTGCAGGTTGGGGGCCGTCGCCTGCGCCCTGCAGGCACACGGGTGGCTCCGTGCACGCGTGTCTGTCACACACACGCGTGTCTCTGTCACACACCCGCGTGTCCCAGCCCTGGCTGCGCTGATGCTCTTTATTGTCGAGGTTCGGCGCTGAAAAAGTGCCCCGTGGTACAAAACCCGCGGTTACAAAACGTACAAAGAGCAGGAGGGGACAGAAGAGAGGAAAAAAAAGAAAAGGAAAGGAAAGGAAAGAAAAAGAAAGAAAGGGAAAAGAAAAGGGGAAGGGAAAGAAAGAAAAGAAAAGAAAAGAAAAGAAAAGAAAAGAAAAGAAAAGAAAAGAAAAGAAA